TCAGTTTCCCCCCCCCCCCCCCGCGCACCCCTGCAACACAAGAGCTGCCATCTTACGAACCTTTAACATCACGCCGCTCGGGTGAGCTCCGACAGAAGTCGCAGAAGCCCGGCCGGAACCGGCTCATTTCGTGCACAGGAGGATGGTGACGAGCTTGTAGTAGAGGTCACAGGTGTAGCCCTCGATCTCCTCACTTTCCACCTTCCGGAACAGAGTCGCCAACACCTCCGAGCCCAGGCCGCCGTTGCTGATGATCAGGTACTTCCCTCCAGTCTTCCTGGCAGGGTTTAGGGTTTAGGGNNTTAGGGAGTTGAGGGAGTTTAGGGTTGACTTAGTTTAGGGTTTAGGATTTATAGGCTTCAGGCTTTCCGCAGCCCGGTCGCAGCGCGCGATGGACCTCGGCCGCCATGGCGCCGCCGCGCTGGCGCAGGGCCTCCGAGCCCGCCTCGAAGAGCGAGTCCAAGGCCCCCTGGCGCCGCGATTCTTTGCCGAAAAGAGGTCTCAAGGATGAGGCTACGATATAGTATTATCATACATAGTACTATAATATAGTACAGTGCTATATAATAGTACTGTAATATAGTACCAGAATAGTACGATAACGGTACAAGAATTGTACAATAGAAGAGTATTAAAATGGTACTATAGCAGAACTATATTGTCTCAAAAAGAGAAAAGCCCGGACTCGCGGGCCTTGTCGATGGCCGCGTCGAACTCGTCCTCGCCCAGCGCCCCGGGCTCCGCACAGTCCAGGCACCACCACGTGAGCTCCGGCTCCTCCCGAGCAGCGGGGCGCCCGCCGTGCGACACACAGGAGGGAGCGCACGCGCCCCGTTAACTGCCTGCTTACGCATCATGTCGATGACTTCGGAGCTGTAGTCCACGTTGATGACCTGCCCAGCTCAGCAGACAGGAAAGGTCTGCTTCACCCACTTCGCCGGCTTCTCCCGCCAAGCCACATTCCTGAAGCCGGCGTCGACCAGCTTTCTTCCAAGGCGGCTGTTGCCGCAGCCCACGTGCAGTACTTTGCTGCCGTGTCTGTTTTCTAGAAGCTTCTCAACGAACCTGAGGCAATTGGGGATGAAAGGAGAGGAGCGAGGTGTTACAATGTCTTCACCTGCTAAGTTCTAGTTAGTAAGGCCGCCGCGGCCAGATCACTTCGCAGGTCTGGTTCCACTCCTGGGTGCTGTCTCAAGTTCGCCCTAGCTGCCATTCAGTCTCACATCAGCCCAGATGCGTAGGTCTGCGCATAGCGCCCCGAAGCATAGGCCGCATCCCAGTACTCCTTTCTGCCGAGCCAGCTGCGCCCGCCGCAGCGCAAAGCAAAGCGCCGCCTCGACCGGGCGAGCGGCGAGGAATTCAAACCAGAAGCTCCTGTGTCCGCTGATCTCGGCATGTCCCATGCCTTCAAGCTTTTTCGGAGCTAAAGAAGCTGCTGTCTAGGCCCCATATAGACCATGTGGCGAACCTCCCGTAACACTCTTCCCCCCCCCCAAGACTTTGACTTACGACATACATGTCATAGCAGGAAGTTGTTGCTTTGGCTCTGGGGCAGAAGTCTCTCTGCGTACTGCATTGCTCCAAACCCCCCAAAAAGCCCCTAAACCCTAAACCCTAAACCCAAACCCCCCAAAAAGCCCCTAAACCCTAAACCCTAAACCCAAAGCCCCCAAAACGCCCCTAAACCCTAAACCCAAAGCCTAAACCCAAAACCCTAAACCCAAAGCCAAAAAGCCCCGACCTGAAGCCGACCACGAGCCGATCTATCGCGCCACAGACGTCTCCAAGGCAGCCCAAGGTCGCCATGGCCAAGCTTTGGATGTTTAGGGTATATAGGGTTAGGGTTTAGGGTAATAGGGTTTAGGGTAATAGGGTTTAGGGTAATAGGGTTTAGGGTTATAGGGTTTAGGGTTTAGGGTTTATAGGGTATAGGGTTTAGGGTATAGGGTCTAGGGCTTACGGTTTAGGGTATAGGGTTTAGGGTTTAGGCTTCAGGCTCGCTCTCCTCGTAGTAAGACCACAGGGCCAAGGTACTCTCCGGCTCTGTGCTGCTGCAACCGATCTGCTCGTGCAAAGCAAGAGCTGGCCATCAAAGGCAATTCTGGAGCTTGCGTTTGCTTTACAACCAGAAGCTATCGGGGAAACGGATCCCCCCATCCGCAAGACCCTTCTGCATCCCTTCTGCGCACGACAAGGTGCTTCGCAGAGCTCTTGCAACTGGGAACCCCGTTGCCCCGTCTTTCCTTCCAAGGATGAGGTTGGAAGCACACTGTAGGAACCAGAACGTCCCGGGTGAATGAAGAAAGCGCTGTGGATCTGGGCTCCGCGGACAACTGCAAGCACAGGGTCCCTCTCCTTTTGCCACCGTGAGCGCCGCTGTCTTTCTCGCACCGCCAGGGCCCTACTCGATGCGATCCGACTCAGGCAGCGGCCGGCCCTCCTGCCGTCCGGAGCCCTTCCGGGCATCCTGGCAGGGAAGCCACAGCTTGACCTAGCACACACAACATGAAGACAAAACACACTTGAAAGAGTGCCCACTCGCGGTCCTGCGCGTGCAACCTCGACATATCGAAGAACCTCGTGCTATCAAAGCAACAGGGCGGCGTGGCTACTGGTTTGTGCCGCGCTCACACCTTGGGCGAGGACTTCTGCCCCTTTGGGCCTAGTTGATGCGGATCCGATCTGGGGAAGTTCGGAAAGCCTCTCCTGCCGGACTGCTCTCAGATAGAGAGCTCACAGGCCTCTTGGAAAGTCTTCTCGAATGAAAAAAAGCTGCAGTGAGTTATGTAATCCAGTAATAACCAGTGGGTAGCAGCATGATTCCCATGATCTTGAGATAGATAGACAGCCCTCGCCCCAACTGGGAAGCTCCTGGTGAGCCAGTAGGGCCGCGTGAACTTCACCTTCCCAGTCGAAGGGGCACGGCAACTCCAAGGCCCCCCCTGTACGCGGCTGCCTCGTGGTAGGGATGGTTGCAAAGCCACCTCAACTGAGCGCTATCAGAACAGCCCTGGCGCAAGAAAAAGCCCGGAGCCATTCCGGATGTGGGGGGAAGCAGGGCCCCAGCTTGTCGGGGCCCATGAACTGATACTTCCAGATGTTCACCTTCTTGGCCCTCAGGCGGTTGCACCAGCCTCGGCTTCAAAGGAGCTCAGAGAGGGTAGGACCTGAGGTCTCAGCCGGCACACCCATGGGCCGGCGATTCATGCCTCGGCGCGCAGCTCAAGCTTAACTGGCCAGACATCCCCAGAGATCCAAAGATCTCTCGCCTCGAAACCTCCTGGAACGAACGCTTCCCTCCTCCCCCAGGCCTGGCGAGCTGCCTTTCCGGCGCAGGCTCTGTGATCGGCGTGTGAAACTCTGGCAGCACTGGGCAAGCTGGTGAGATGTGTAGTGGCTGGGTGGGGTCGTGCACGACAGAGCATGGTGAGGAGTTTGGAGCGTGAGGCAGGGTTTCCACTCAGCAGGCTTCGTGTTCGTGATTGCCAGTGAGGCTTGAAGCCCTCAAAGAGCTGCATAAGGCACCAAACGCGAGACGACATGAGACCGGGCGGCCACGCAGACTCCCCCCGACCGCTCGAAATGCGCAAAGCGAAGCAGACTGATTTGGCCCTCGCCCGTTTCCCGAGTCGCGTCTAGCTTTGCATCAGCTTTGCTTGAGTCGTGCGGTCACACGTTGATCTAGGCAACGTCTCCGTCCACGGAGAGTTCAACCTATCTCGGCGAAGGCAATCAGCTGGCAGGCTGGAGGAAGCCGCGCCTCCCCTCATCTCAATTTCCACCTTGGGCACCCCCTGCCACCTCCGAGACTTGCTTCTTCACCCGCCTGGCACAAGATCCAAATCCTCTCGTCGCCACATGACTCGACATTGACTCTGACTCTCTGCCCCACCTCAGATACTCGTTCTTGTCGGTGGAAAATAGCCGGTATGGCTCTTCCTTGGAGGAGAGCATTGCCACAACAGCCAGTCCAGGGGCAACTGCGCGCCTGCGCTGGCGACGCAGCATTCGGGTTGTCCAGGAGGTCCTGTAATACGAGCTCATGGCTTCATCAGAACAAAGCAGACTCTGAGCCCCCGGCCTGAATGCCTAGCAGGATCTGACGAATCGTGATGGCTGGCTTCCAGTCCTCTCCACTTGAAAGGTCTCTCCCGCTTTCAGGGTACTCAGCTATAGAGCCCGGACAGAGGGAGCCACCCGGCCTCGTCCTCGTTTAGGATACTAAGACAAACAGTTCCGGAAGGGTAAACGTTCGGGTGGAACAGCGGCTTGCCGTGCACCTGGCAATCTCAGGGGGCCGCTCTGAAAGAAAGAGAGAAAAGCCTAGGAACGCTAGGAAATAGGACGCGTGCCACGCACATGCCGGCTGCGCATGCGCAAATTTGCACTTGGGCGGCTTTGATGGGTAATCCTCTGTGAACTCCATAGTGAGGGCATAGGTGGCGCCCTGTGAAGAGTACAGCGCGAGCAGTTCAGAGGCACCTGGAGCTCGACTGGATAGCGGCCTCCCAGGGGCCTTTGGCCCGTCCAGGAATTCCACAGTTCCACTTGAAGACCTCTGCGGTGATGCGACCCGGGTTGAGGCTTTGGGGCTTTAGGATTCTCACACGGAGGATTCGGATCACAGTGGCGCTCTTCTAAGCATGTTTTGTGACTTGGCGCAGCACGTTCTGTCCCTTTCCGTCTTCGTTGGGCGCGTACCTGAACAGGTTCGGAGGCTCGCGAAGCACGACTTCAAGATCCCTGATGCCGTGAACGTGCGTGGCCGCGCACTTTGCGTAGAATCCAAAAGGGTGGTCTTTTTTAAAAGCCGCCCGCTCCTGCAGTGTCAGACGTGCCGTGCTGTGCAGTTTGGGGAGGCTTCTGGCCTGCGCAAGTCTCTTGGATGCAAAGCTGGCCATCCGTCTGCGGCGATTCGCCTCTTCTCTTTGAAGGGCTTCAGATTCCAAGCCTGGCGGAGACTTGTACCTAGTAAAAAGAGCTCTGGCCCAGCCCACGGTTTCTGAGCGCCCTACACCTGCACCGCAGACCTCTGCCCCCCCAAAACCAGGTACTGCAAGCCGAAAAGGGCACCGCAGCGGGCAGGCTACATCTGATGAGAGTCAATCATCTTCACAACGAAAGCCAAAGAACTCTGGCTCTTGAACTTAGTGCGAATCTCGAAACCTCTGGCACAGTTAGGCCGGGATGGTTTCGATTCTTCCTGGCTCTGCAATCCTGGGTACTGAAGCCTGCTGCTGACACTGCATTCCACACTTATCATCTCGCGGTCGCGGTCGGCGACGAATCACCACTGTACTCGTGGTTCGAGAAGGGTTCTAAGATTTCTGCCTGGTCAGGGATTGGAAATCCCGCAAACAATTATTTTGGATTTTGGTTTGCGTTTGTTTTTTTCGTTCTGGCTGCGTGTGTTGTTTTGCATTCGGGTTTTGGTTGTTGTTTTCTTGCATTCGGGTTTTGGTTGTTGTTTTTGCATTCTGGTTTTTGTTTTTGCATTCGGGTTTTGTCTGCTTTTCTTTTGCATTTTGACTCTGTTTCTTTTTCGTTCCCGGTGTGCTTGCATCCGTTGCTTCCGGGCTTTGAGTTTTAGTTTCAGCGTATTTCGGTGGATCTTTCATCTCGTGTTGGCTAACTTTTTGTATTTCATGTGTTTGCGGTGATTGTGCCTGCATGCCGGCTCCGTGTCTGATATGCTGCAGCAAGGTTGCTGAGGTACGACGATGACGATGACTGTAAATCCCATGCGGGCCGTGATGAAAACGATCAAAACGAGAAAAATGAAACTCAGACTCGCTACACGTACGGTGAGAACGAGAATCATGGGTCCTGTGTCCTACACATCCTTAGCAGTGTCCTTAGCAGTGTGTCTATGGCACGTGCATGTGGCGTTTAGTAACTTTCATTCCACGACAACGACAACTACGCGTACGACAAGCAACGCTAGTGACTGACGATGATGGGACTGGACTGGCCAGACCTGTCTTTCTGGCAACACCTGTACCTTCCATCGCACCTCATCCGCTA